GATTGTAACCATGGCAATGAGACGATAGAATGAATGTAAAACCAATGTTCTCCCATGTAAACTATCACATAATTCACAATAAATCATTAAAAAAAAAAAAGCAGTTCCAATTTTCTCACTGATAGTCTTTTCTAAAAAGAGAGTTATCAAGTAGTAAATATGTACTAGGCAAGTTGTTGTTAGGCGCCGTTGAATCAGTTCTAACTCACAGTACCCTGTATAAGGCTTCTGAGGAGTGGCTGGTAGGTTTGAACTGCCGACTTTGAGGTTCAAACCAACCTTGGGGTTCAGTGCATTATCCTGCAACACTGTCATTAAGTGGGACTAAATACATCTCTTTTCATGTTGAAATATTTTTTTTAATGGTTAGCGTTTACAAACTGGTTCTAAGGTAATTTAAAAAAAGGCAAAACAAAAGTTTATTTACTAATGAACTGAAGAAACAGATCTATGCTAACTCTCAAAATAAACTTCTAATTTTTTATTTGGTCATTTGATATCTTTAAAGAAATATTCACATTTACATATCTTGTTAGCCTCCTTGTTGTACATCGTGACTTGTATCTATTTTATTTTGCATATTCTTAGAAGATACAATGTTTTAACTGCAGAAACTTGATTGAAGTTAAACTTTATTAAACTTGTTAAAGGAGGAGGGCTATGTGGAACAACCTCTTTTCCCTCATGAATGATGTCAGCTTTTATAGTCACCGCCTGAAGATGATTCTAGATTGCTTCCAGCTTTTTTTCTCCAACTTGTTTTAACTCTTAGGTGGCTCTCATATCCTTTCCTCTGTGTTTGGGCAGGCATTTGTCTCTCCCCCTCCTAACTGGTTCCTTGTCCTCAACTGCAGCCCCTCCCTCCTGTCTGCTTGCCCAAACCCAGAGAGTTCTTTCTAGCATCCTTTTGAACTCTGCACTGCCACACCTCTGGGCAGTGCCTGCGGCTGCCCGCTGTGTACAGGACATAACCCTTCCCCCACAACTCTCTGGGGTCAGCATCCAGTGTTGCTTCTTGTGGTCCCTGGAACTCAATCTTTATGCCACTGTACACACTGTTCCTTCAACTGAAAACACTGTTCCACCCTCTGCCCAGCACAGGGACTGGCTGTTGTACTGTCCTGAACCCACTCTGCCTTTAAGAGTTAACAACACAGGCATGACCAGATATCTGAGTGTTCTCTTCCTTTTTGTCATTGACCCTAAAGGCATACCTTTCCCTCCCTGCATTCCGATAACCCCATCTGCTAACTGTAAGTGCTAGCCTCCTTCCTTGTTTCCCAGACTAGCACAGACCCAATGGGTCTCTGAAGAAAACCTAGGATTTAAAATATCATCAGGAAATCAACTCCTGGTCCCCCTCCTGAGATGCAAAGGCCTACTTGTGGGCCTTCTCTCCCTTGATTCTAGTTCTGGGGGTAAGGGACATTTCCTTCATTTGTCTTTGAGGCTGAATAACTCAGTAATTTGAATTTATGGGGATATCTGAGGAGAGATCAGTTTGGGGTACTTAATTCTTGCTGCGCTTTCCAACGTGCCCGCTACAGTCCTACCTTGTCATCTCCAGCTACTTGACCTACTAGGCACTCCACAGACTCCTGGTGAGGTGCTGTAAGATCAGCACTGGACTGCGAACCACAAGGTCAGCAGTTCAAACCCATCATCTGCTCCTTGGAAACACTGCTGAGTCGGAACCGACTCAACAGCACTTAACAACAACAACAGGCACTCCACACAAGGCTGAGCAAACACAACAGAGAGTGGTGGGCATTTTTGTTTGCTACCAAGGCTAGAGAGTACTAACTGACATTTACCCGAGAGAGCAAGGAGGCTAAATGTCTCTCATTGCTCACACAAAGTCCCCCCACAGTAAAGAACTTTTCTCACATATTTCCACAGTGCACCTCTGCAGACTATGGCACCAGAAAACCATTTATTCAATTCATAGGTCAGACGTAGCAGGGAAAGAAAGGTTCCGGAAGTACCTCACCACACTCCAGCATGGCTCAACCCTGTCTGAGTTCTTCCAGCTCAGTCAGGGTAGCATAACTCTTTCTACCATGTGCCCCTGACTCTGCGTCATAACCTCTGAGTGTAACCTCCAAGATGGTAGCGTGTGGCCACCCGGGTACTTAGACTGCACTCTGGCCCTTACTGAGTCTCTCCTCACACACATTGCCAGGCAGAGTCTCTGGGAGCCTTACTGGAAAGGAGTTTAGAAATGCTTGTCAAGTTATAGAGCATAATGACCATGGCCCTACTTCTAAGCTATGATTTATCCAGAGATCTGGATAAATGTAGTCAACGTCACTGAATTATACATGTAGCAGTTGTAGGGGGAGACAGGGGACAGATTGATCCAAATGTTATTTATAATTTTCTAATATAAAGAAACTGGTTTTAAAAATGTGTAGTTTAAAAAATGTAGAAGGCTTCATGTAAGAGTAGAATTTGAGCCAGGTTAGGAGACGGAGCTTCGGGTTGGTGGAAGGGAGAAGACAGCACATTTCAGGCACAGATTCTAGCAAGGTGTGGCGGTAGGAACAAGTGTGACCTGGTGTCATGAGAATGGGGGTGGGGTTAAAAAGCTGTGGTTTAAGAAGGCTGCTTACTTCTTTAAGAAGATGGAGCTAAACTGAGGTCTTACTTTGCATATAGTGGAGATTCAGTAACTATTTCTGGTACAAATGAATGGAAACAAATGGAGAGCCACAAAACCACTTAGAGAAGGGAGAGATATGATGAAAATGTTGTTCAAGGAAGAGGGAGACCCTCTGACAGCCGCTGGGACACTCCAGAAGAGTGTGGCAGTCTAGGAATGAGAGTCGACAGCTGGGCTGGGAGGGTGGATGCAAACAAATAGGACAGAAGGAGAAACATCTGAAGTAAAAACAACAACCACACACACACACACACACACACACACACACAAAAGAAAGTCAGAGAGTAAAATAGAATTAAGAATTTAAGACAAGCCTTACTTCT